TAATATAAATTAATTATAAACTTATAAAATAATACTTGCTAGACATAAAAAAATAAAATTAATGTCTTAAAATATAAATATTTTGACTAAAAAAATTAATATTAGTAATGTTTAGAAAACTTAATTCATTGTTAGTATTTAAATTTAAAACGATTAACTTGCATGGGTCATTATGCAATTTTTCAGAAAGTGGAAGGATACTCTTTTTTTATCCTTAACATGTGCTCATCGTCATCTGTATCTCAATAAATATCTCATCTAAATCTCATCCTCACCAACCACGTGTCCATGCCATGCATGTCTCAATATATCATTCAAAACTAGGATGCCTTTTGGACTTCAAAAGCTCATTTTAAAAGTAGGGTGTTTGGTGCAGCTGCACCTTTTGGACTTCAAAAGGTCTTCCGACCAGCTGCACCAAACACCCACTAAATCTGAAAATAGTATGCCTTCTCTCTCAACGTCGTCCCCTTTGCCAAATACTCAGTGACTCAACTTTATAATTGAAAGTTTGAAATTAAATATTACAGTCTACCTCAACTTTCTTCTCCCATTTTTTGCAAAAATTAATTAAGGATTTTTTTTTAAAAAAATAAAAAATAAAAAAGTAATAAATATATTTTTTTATGATTAATTTTTATTAAAAATATAAATATTATGATTAATTTTTATTAAAAATATAAATATTTACATATTAATAATATTAAAAAATATATTAATTTTTATAATTTTTATATAAATTAATTATTAAAATATTTATTTATTATATTCATAACTTATATTTTTAAAATATAAATTAGATAAATTTATTAATTAAACTATAATTAAACCCTAGATTAAAGTGTTTCTTAACTTTCTTTTGCTCTCTCTCTCTAAATTTGATTAAACCAATGCCGACAACAAATTACCTGCACCACCTCCAATTTTTTCACCACCAATATTATAGCCGGATATCAAGGAGATGAATAAAGAAATAAAAAATAATCAATCAGCATTAATCTCTAATATGTTTCTGTTCATACCAATAAATGCATTCATATCGGTAAATATATTTCTTGTATAAAATCACTCATTTAGGCTTTGATTATAGCTGACAATTTATATATATATAGCAATCAAAATAAGAAAATGCTTTAAATGCGTATATCACTATCATTCATACTCTGATTTTATCAATTATCCACTCCATATAACCCCCAATTATTCAGCATAACCCTCCTAGCCAGAGACAGCCTCCTTCCTCTTTTTCACTTTTTTTTTTTTTTTTGGGTACAACTCACTTTCACCATTT